AGATCCCTGTTTACCCCTTGAATATCCTAAACCCCATGCCCGCAAGCCCCTATATGTCCCAAAACCAAAACCCCAGCTCCTAAATCCTGAGGTCATCCACAACCCAGTCCTAAACCCCTTACAGGAACCCTTCAAGGAACCTTTATGAAACCCTACGCCCCTTTATATAACCCCCCAAATCTAAAGCGCAGAGGGTCCACACATATACTACCATTTCAGAGTTCCCTATTTATATACATAGTTTCCTTATATAAGTCGTTGAAAAGGTAAGCTGTCCAGAGCCCTAAAAGGCCATCCCTGTCGTGATTCTGGGCATCTAATTCCATAACCGTAGTACCCCGAACCTACCGAAGAGTAGGCTTAATAAGAGGAGCTTGCAACAAAGCTAGAGGTCTACATGGACCCTCTCGGAAGTTCATACACCGCCGATTGCCTTAATTGAACCCTGAACCTTGATCCCCAAACCCTACATATCCTGAACCCCAAACCCCAAACCGTAAGCTCTCAAGGCGTCGAAGAGGGCAGGTCGTCGACCGCTTCAAGTTTGGGTCCCCAGCCGGGTTTAGGGCTTACGCTTCCCTTAAATGGTACTGTACCTTTAAAGGGCTTGATACGATTTCTCTAATACAAGGGTTGGTAAAGAGCTGCGGTTCGGGTTTAGGGTTCAGGGTTGAGGCATGATTCCGGACACGTATCTTCCTAAATGGTAAGATGCAACTGACCTTGCTTTTGGCTCAAGGAAAATAGGAGCGTTGCAATTATCTAATCATGGTAGCGGAGCGCTCGGTTGCGCTCCAGGAGTGAATGTTTCGAGGTCTCGTTCTGAGGCTCTGTGCAAGGCGATACCGGGCCTGTGTGGTGAACAGGTGGGCAAGGCTGATCAGGAAGTTGCAGCGCATTCGGCGCTTGCAACGCATTTGGGGCCATCTGGGCCTGTTTCTTCAGGGGCTGAACTTCAGCCGGGAATTCCGTACGCGCCTGCTTGACTCCCAGCTGCTTCGGCAGGGAGAGGCCCAAGAGCGACCTGTGAGGACCACAAGGCGTCGCGATGGCAGGCGGGGCAATTGATGTGACCCAGCTGGCTACCCAGCTGCAAGCCTTGCAGAACGAACTGCTGGAGAGCAGAAGGAGAGAAGAGGATCTGAATAATCGCCTGACGGCGGTTGCGCAGCAAGCAACGGCTGCATCTGCGGCTGGCGGTCCGGGCGTTTCGCCTGGGCTGCAGACCGTGATGCAGCAGATGGTGGAGACCCAGAAAGCCATTCTGGAAGCGACCAAGAGACCGGATAAGAAGCTGACGCTGATTGACAATCGGGGGCTCGCGAAGCCCAGCAACTACAGTGGAGAGACGGATTTTCTCCAGTGGAAGATACGCCTAGAGGCGTTTGTTGCGAGCGTCCACCCGGACCTTGAGGTTGCTATGGCCTGGGCAGAGGAAGAAGCTGATCCTATCAGCTCGGCTGCGCTTACCGCTGCCTTCGGGGAAACGAACCCGACCGAGAAGCACATTGCCGATCTCGAAGATATGCAGGCCCAGCTTTACGCTGTGCTGCAAACGCTCTGTGAGAAGGAGGCCTTTACCTTGGTCCGGTCTAGCGGCAAGGGAAAGGGCCTGGAAGCTTGGAGGAAGCTCAGCAAGCGGTTCGATCCTTCTACGGGAGGTCGCCGCCGAGCTATGCTGCGGGGCGTGCTGAACCCGCAAAGGGTGAACCGCGTTGAGGAGCTATCGGCTGCGGTCGAGGCTTGGGAAGAACAAGTGCGCCTGTACGAAAACAGGCGGAAGCCTGACGGTACGCGGCCGACCCTTGACGAGGACATCAAGACGGCGATCCTCGAGTCGATCTGCCCGACGGAGGTCGAAAAGCACTTGCAGCTGAACCAAGCACGGTTCGATGGCTACGAGGATGTGCGCAAAGAGCTGAGCGCCTACCTGGAGACGCGTGTGGGGCTCAAGCTCAAGCCTGGTGCGCCTGTTGACACGGGCGGTCCGGCGCCAATGGACGTCGGCGCGTTCGGTCAAGAGCCCAAGGGCAAAGGAAAAGGCAAGCCGGCGAAGAAGGAACAACGTGTATGCCACAACTGTGGCAAGCCAGGACACCTTGTCGCCGACTGCTGGGCACCGGGCGGAGGAAAAGCGAAGAAAGGAGGAAGCGGCGGAAAGCCGAACAACGCCAGCCCGACAAAGGGCGGAAAAGGACCCAAAGGAAAGCCTGGGAAAGGAAAAGGAGGAAAGCCAGGCAAAGGAAAAGGAGGAAAAGGAAAGGGAGGAAAGACCAAGCAGGTTGGAAACGTGGAAGAAGAGAAGGAGCCGGAAGGAGAAGAGGCCACTACCTGGGACGGCGGTGGTTGGGAAGAGGGCTGGGACCAAAACGAGGGTTGGAACGAAGCTGCGGGCTCAAACGAAAGTAACTACTTAGCTCTAGGAGCCCTGCACCTTTCCGCGCCGATGGCGCGCGACATGCAAGAGGAAAGCCGCGAGGAGGAGCTCGTGGAAGAAGACCCTCCGGTCTCAGACGCCCCTACGGCAACCAGCGTGTTCCCGACGGTGCCTGCCGGTGCTTCACTGGCGGACCCGGCTCTTGTGAATGCTCTCTCCAGCCTGCCTCTGGTGGCTCAGCTCGGGGGCGTGTCTCTGCTTTCGGATTCCGGGGCAGGGTCCTCTCGGGACACCAGTGTGGATGTGATGCTTCGGCTTCTGCGTGAGAACCTCACTTTGGGGATGCTCGTGCGGCAGCAGGCGGCCCAGCTTGAGTCCTCCGGCTTCGGTTCGGCTGGAGGCTCCTCAGGTGCTGCGCCGGGACCTGCGCCTGCGACCCCAAGGGCGGCTCCACCAAAGCCGCCCAAAAGGGCAAAGAAGGAGGAGAAGAAAGAAGAAGTGAAGAAAGAAGAGGTGAAGACCGAAGACGAAGAGAAGCCGGAGGTGGCGGCTCCAAAGCCGAAGGCCAGTCCCCCGAAAGGGGTGCCGCCGAAGCCGGCGTCGAAGTACCTGAAGCCCAAGCCGAAGGTGCTACCGAAAGCCGGAGAAGAGGTCCCCGCACGCAGGGAGTTGACAAAGCCAAGCAGCGGCGACGACACTAGCGGGGACGGAGACGAAGAGGAGGAGCCGCGAAACAAGAAGAGAACCCGGAGTGCCGGGATGAAGCATGTGATCCCAGAGGAAGATTGGAAGAAGATGCGCTTTCGGGAGCGCCAGGATCACAAGAAGGAGCTGCGGAAGAAGATCCCGCCGGGGTCGCTTGGAGAGGCTGTCTTGAAGGCCCAGGGAACAGACTGCGACACCTGCTCGGAGAGGCGCGACCGCGGAAGGTCTGCGGTGCGCCGGTTTGCCGCGAAGGCGGTGGAGCGGGCTAAGCAGAAGAGTGCGGGCGAGACTCCGGGCTTTGTTTCGCCTGGAGCCGCCGCGGGCACGACGCACTCCAAGGTTTCGGCGCCTAAGCCACCGCCGGACCTTAGGAAGCCTAACGAACCTAAGGGCCCGCCGCCAAAGCAGAGAAGATCCAGCGAGCCGAAGGCGCCCAAGACGCCACCCAGCGAGCCGAAGGCGCCCAAGACGCCACCGAAGAGGAGCTCCAGTGTGAGCCGGGGGCGCCGCCAAAGCGCCTCTCAGGGTTCACCGCTGGGAGCATCAACTTGCTGCGTGGTGCCTTGATGGAGCAGCTGCGCAAGAACATCGACGAGGAAGAGGATGAAGACGCTAAGAAGCGCCTGGACGAACAGCGCAAGCAGCTCGCGAGAGACCGGCCGAGGCAAAGCGTGGTCATCACCAGGGAAAACCTGGACGACCAGTCCTTCCACGACAGCCGGTACTACGCAGATCGGGCGGCCGGCGTCGCCCACCACGTGGCATGGAAAGGCGAGAAGGGTAGAAGGCGTGCCATCCTCAGCCGCCGCGAAGGGCTGAAGGATCGGGTGGCAGACCGCCTGGAGAAGGACGAGGAGTGGCACCGACGCTACGAGGACCGGGGCGCCGGGAAGAAGGTCGATAAGACCGATCGGTTCCGCGGGGAGACCGAGGTGATCGACGAACGGTCGCGGGACAAAGGGAAAAGCGAGGCCACGAAGGAGGCCGCGCCACTCTCGAGGAAGGCTCGGGAGAACCTACGCCAGGAGCCGAACGACGAGGAGGAGCTCCTGGCCAAGGACCCGAACAAGAAGGAGAGAGGCCCTCGCAAGCGAGGGGCCGATTACTATCGTCGGAAGAATGCTGCGAGGCGGCGTCGCAAGCGTGGAGAAAAGGAAGAAAACGATGAGAAAGAGGAGCGCGACGAGCCGCCGCCACCGGACGAGCCCCGAGACGACCAAAGTGGGCCGAAGAGGCCAAAGGGGCCACCGGGAGGACCCAGCATCTTCGTTCACTCCTTTGGCACTTCGGCCGATTCGGCTGGAGTGGTCGAGGAGGTGGACGGATGGAAACGCATCCGGTTGAATCTGGATACCGGGGCCGCCGCGACCGCGATCCCAATCGAGCTTGCGGAAAGCTTGAAGGAGATGGGATATGCCTTGGGGCCCACCAGCGGAACAACCTACAAGACCGCAAACGCCGAGATGATGCGGGACGAGGGCGGCCTGCAGATTCGAGGCACCGACGCCCGTGGAAACTTGAAGGGAGTGACCGGAAGGGTCACGGGCGTTCATCGCCCGCTGGCGTCGGGAAGCAAGGTGGCTCAGGGCCACCACCTGGCGCTGACAAAGAAGGGCGGCTGCTTGATTCCCCTTGGGAGCAAGGCGGCCGCGGAGTACGATCAGTTCATGGCTGGCCTGGTGGCCCGCCACCACGCCATGCTTACGCCTGTTACCGTCGAGAACGGCATCTATATGCTTGACTTTTGGGTGCAGCCACGCACCACGGACCGGAAGCCCGAGCTGAACGCAACGGGCGACAACGAAGAGGAGAAGGAGAAGGAGGATGCCCCTTTTCCGGGGCAGCGGAAGGCGTAAGTCCTGACGATCCCCCGCCGGAGGCCCCTGCCGGCGATGGGGAAGCTGCACATGAGGGGCGGATGGCAATCGCCCGGCGGTCTCCCAAAGATCCGTCGCCCGCCGAGATCGACGAACACCGCGCAGCGGGGCATGTTACGCACCGTTCCTGGTGCATACACTGCTGCAGGGCCCGTGCTGGGGCCCCACGACATGCGACCGGCGAGGCTGCGGACCACGACGCTGGTAGGTTGCCCTACGTTTCACTAGACTACTTTTACCTGAACTCTGGCCAAGAAAAGAGCGAGAGTGAGGGAGTGCTGCCTTGTTTGGTAGTGAAGTGTCACAAAACTGATAGGTATTGGTCTACAGTAGTGCCGCAAAAGGGTACTGACCTTTACGCTGTAGAGTGGCTAAAGCGCTGCTTGAACGAAACAGGTTTTAAGGAAGTTTGTTTGAAAAGCGACAACGAGAACCCCATCGTGGCGCTGAAGAAGAAGGTGAAAGAGGAGATGAGTTTGAAGGTGCACCTCGTTGAGGTGCCGGTGGAGGACCACCAAGCAAATGGATACATTGAGGTGGGCGTGCGTGAGATGAAGCGGCAGGTCCGGGCGATTCTCTCGGACTTGCAAGAGCGGCTTGGTTTCGATATCGAGCCGGCCCATCCATGCATGATGTGGCTTCCGCGCCACGCTGCCTACCTGCTTTCTCGGTTCCGCGTGGGAGCGGACGGCCGGACGCCTTACGAGAGGACGTTCGGAAGGAAGTGGAAAGCTCCACTTGTGAGCTTCGGCGAGCCCGTGCTCTTTAGGCCGAGGCAGCCGCGAGACGGCAGGAAACACGACCTAGAGCCCAGGGTTAGCATGGGCATGTTCGTGGGGGTTGGCGCCAACAACGACGTGTTCATCATGACAGAACGGGGTGTTGTGAAGGGCGCCTCGATCATGCGCCGGCCTCCTGCGGACCAGTACAAGTACGAGAACTGGAGCAAACTCCGAGGTGTTCCTTGGAGGCTCCAGGCCCGAGAGCCAGGAGAGCTTCGGGTCGACCTGCCTGCGGTGGTTGGACAGCCGAGGCGTGCGCCGCAGGAGGAAGTGGTTCCGAGGAACCTGTACGTTCTAAAGAGCGACCTGGAGAGGCACGGCTACACGCCGCTGTGCCCGGGCTGTGAAGCCCTGATCTGCGATATGCCGCGCAGATCGCACAATACGAGTGCCGCCTAAGGATCCAGGCGGAACTTCAGAAGACTGAAGATGGAAAGGCGCGCATTGATTGATGCGGCCAGGGCCCGGCTTGACGCCGGGAGGAGGCCCAAGAACCAAGGAGGGGCTCCAGCAGCTGCGGCCGCGGCCAACGCACCTGTGTTGGTCCGCGCGCCGGAGCCACCCAAAGAATCTTCTTAGGCTGTTAACAGACTATATATCCTAAAATAGACTATTAGTCTATTATAAGATATATAGTCAAAAATAGACTAGGATATAGTCTATTTTAAATAGACTATTATAGTCTATTTTAAACTATTGAATAGTCTATTTTAAACTATTACATAGGCTATTTTAGCCCTTGATTTTCCTCCAGGAGCTCTTGCTTCCTTGAATTCTTTTCAGGAGCTTATGCTTCCTGACTTAAATCTTGGACTGGATGTTTCAGGAGCTTAAGGCTTCCTGACTTAAATCTTGGACTGGATGCTTCAGGAGCTTCTGCTTCCTAAGGCGGCTTCTGGCTTATAATTTGCCCAAAACCCCAGATGCAGCACTCCTTTTACTCGCAGTCTCATCCCATGGCTTCCTTTCGAGTGGACTTCACTCTCAGTGAAACTTTTCATCCCAGAGCTGGCTGGCTTTCGAGTGGGCTTTGCGAGCCCACTCTACGGCCTTCTCTTTGCCCAAGCCGTGGCCAAGAGCAAGCCTCTTCGCCTTGGCGTAAAATCGAGATGTGTAGTGGTTCCTACTGTCCGTGCTTTTAAACACGGAGTCAGAGATAATAGTGCTGATCGCCTCCTGGTAGAGCTCCTTCTCCTCGCGGCCGGGCACAGGGGCAGGGTTAACAGACTCCTTCTGCTTCTTGGCAGCTGTGCCGGCTTCTGGGTCTTTGGCAGCAGGCCGCTTCTTCGGCGAGGCTTCTGGAGCTTTGCTCGCAGGCCGTTTCTGGACAGCCGCCTCCTTCTGCTTCTTGGTGAGGGGCTTGGCCGGAGAGGCTGCCCAGGCATTCTGCAAAGCTTGCTGTGTCGCCCTTTGCATGAAGTCCATGCTTCCAGATGCCCTTGGCATGAAGTCCATGCTGCCAGAAGCGGGGGTATGGGACACCGGAGGAGTGACAGGTGCAGGTACGACTGCTGCTGCAGGCTCCGTCTCGGCATCCTTCGCTGGCCCGTCCTGGAGTGCAAGTACACCTTTCAGCGGCACTGTCTCCGATGGCTGCACCATGTCCTCCATTTTGAACTTCGGGTTGATCTGCAAGCAGAGGGCCTGCACCTGTTGAAGTGCCTGCTTGTCGAGTTTCTTGGGCATCTTTTCCTTGCCGGTGGCAACATCCCGAATCTTGCCGGCCAGCATTCTGAATCTCAGGTTGAAGTACTGCAGCGACGAGTCTTCCCAGCCTGCAGGGCTTTGAATTTATGGGTTTAGGGGCCGGGTTAGGCACTAGAGTCTTAGGATCCTTAGGCTATACCTATCATGAGATTATAAGCGCCCCCAGCCTGGCAACTTCTGCTGTGGAGCCTGTAGTACCAGGATGTCCCTCTTGAACAGGCCGAGCAAAGCAGTCTGGAGCAAGGCATGGGGTATCAAGCCATTGGTGCAGATCTCGAAGATACGGTTCAAGATCGGAGCGAGGAACACGACCTCCTGGATGTGTTTGCCCAGGGCCGTCTTCCATGAGCATTCCTCCAGTCCTCTGCACAGCATGCCGAGTGTGTTGTGGCCCATCTGCCGCAACCCTTTTTCGACGGCATTTTCAAGGGCAGCTGCAGTCACTGACGGCAGCACCTTCAGCCGCTCGCCAACTGTCGGCAGTGCCATGGCAGGAGTCCTACAGCTGCAAACTAAAAAAACTGCACGGGAAAAACATACAATACATATACAACAACCATGCATGCGGGCACATCCTATGGTGTCACCGGATGCCTATAGGAGCTTCTAAGCTACCTTTTTTTTTTAGGAGCTGGCGGCTTCCTCGCACAGGTGGGACCGCCACGTCTTCACGAGGCGGTCCCGTGCGGATCCAGGACTGACACATCCTGGATTTCTTGGTTGCCTGGCTTCCTGGACCCCATTGGCTTGCGGGGTTCATGGAAGCCTTTCTGAGTATATGGTGCATTTGTGCCTTCTGTGCCTTTTCCTTGGTTATTGCATTTCTAAAGCGATCGAGTTGGCAGCTTCCTCGCCCTTGGCCTATCTTAATATCCCTCAGGAGCCTTTGGCTTCCTGGACTACAGCTCCTATAGATTCATGCACTCCTTTTTTCCCTCGCAGCGACTTCGATCCCTAGCATATATACACATGTGTCATGACACGTGCATCAAATTATAGCATGGAGCCACTACATGGCACTCATGCCCCGCCGTTTTTGCCGGCAGCCAGCTGCTGTAGCTTGAGGCCGAAGCGGAGGCAAGTCAACAGCCTCAGGGTTCGACGGGCAACACAGGCTTCTTTTTCCCAAGCTCTTTTGGAAACGAACCAGCTGTTGGGCAACACCTCGTTGAGGAAGGCGGTAGAAAGCCAGGGGAAGTTCACGTGTTGGTAGCCCACCCACCGTTCCCTTTTGCACTTGCGAGCCTCTGGGTCGAGCTCCTCCTCTCGGGCTTTCTGCAGAGCTGCCTCCACGAGGTCCTTGCCCTCAACGGCTTGGTCGCCCTCGTCTTTCTGCAGAGCTGCCTCCACGAGGTCCTTGACCTCAACGGCTTGCTCGGCCTCGTCTGCCATGGCTGTACTACGGAGGCGAGCGGCGAGCTTGAGCTGAAAAACGGCTGCAGCAGATACGACATGCCCTGAAGATCCTACAAGGAGGCCGAGGCTTAGATTGCTTCAGAACTGCAGGCGCTCAAAATCTCTGAGGAGCCCGAGGCTTCCTTCAGCAATTAAGGAACGAGGAGCCCGAGGCTTCCTTCAGCAATTAAGGAACGGTCCCATTTTTTCTCCTCAGAGCGGCGGTCCAGGCTGTGCAAGGATCTCTGCCAGTTCGATTGACATGGCATCTGTGTACTGCCGCATGAAACGATCCAACGAAGTCAGCATCGTCCGGCTCTTGGTACACATCTTGAGGAGACCCTTGCATTTGGACATATAATCCTCGCCGGAGTATGTCCAAGTCAGCTTGGGGGAAAGATGCCTCGCCAGCTGCAGCCCATGCAGAAACCAGTGTGTCTTGAATGTCAACTGGAAGGCCAGATGGCCCTGCTCCAGAAAGGACTTATTCAAAATCGTCATGCACTGGAAGAGACAAACGGCCGTGAGCATCATCCGATCCGCCACCTCTTTCGAGGGCTTCCAGTCTTCGATGCCATCTGCCATTTGGTCCAAATCGCGGCTGAAACTCAAAGCCAGGGCAATCTGTTGGTGCTCCTCGTTGTCCTGTTGCAGGTGCTGTTGGCAGATGCTCGCCAAAGCTGCAATAACGCCCTTAGTTTCTGCTGCCTTGGCCTTCAAGCGAGGGTATCCCTTTCTGCAGTGAATATCCTGTGGGTCAGCCAGGACCATGGTCTGAGTGATGTAGTTGATGCCATTGCCCTTGTGCTGCCGCCAGTAGTCCTGCAGGGGAGCTGAAGCTGCCTACACACTACAACTTTTATATACCATGTCTCACAACAACAGGAGCTTAAGCTGCCTATACCATATCTGAAAACAGCAGGAGCTTAAGCTGCCTATACATATCTGAAAACAGGAGGAGCTTAAGCTAGCCTATCTGAAAAAAAGGAAAGTTCACAGCCTTCATCTGCAGCAATACATTGTCCAGGTTTTCCTCTACTCCGCCAGGAAGGATCCTCCAGCAGAGAACCCACAACGTTGAGCCAGCCAGCCGCTGGTCGAAGCCGAGGTGCTTGCTGTGCATCCAGTCCGGAATCACACCACTGGGGCTCACAAGGTGTCGCAGGAGAGGGCAGCAGCTGCGGCGAGGGCAGTGCCATGGATCCACAGGAACCTCCGCCACGTTTTTGTAGTCGAACATATTGTCTTTGCTGATGTTGCAATGCCCGCAAGGGAAGTTGGAATTCCACCGTGGCAAGTTGTGACTCGTGTTGTACCATTCCAAGTCACCAGTCAGAAAAAGGAGCACCGGGAACAAGTCATTGTTCGTCTTGCATTCTTCGAAACATCGTTCAAAGGCCCGAACGACGTGTCCCCAGATGCTGGCCACAGTGTTGCCACAGGAAGACACCACGATCTGCTCAGTCCAAACAGCACTTATCAGCACATGGACGAGCTTTGAAGAGGTCTGTGAGGAGAGCAGGCTTCTCCAAGAGATAAAAGCACAAGACCTGTCCTTGCTGTCAATCGGAACTCCATCGCCGTGCAGGATCAGCGGTACCGCTCTGGATTGGTAGTTCTTGATCTTCTTCACGGGATGGTGCAGGAGTGCAGGGTGCGAGGAGCCGACCTCTCGCCAAAAGTTCGCTATGTCACCATCGTTCCTGCAGCATAACTCACGGAAGACCATTGGCTGTCGCTGCAGCGACCGAAACACGTCAACAGGGTCCAAAAACGGGATCGCAGCCCGGAGAGCTTTCTTGATGGGCACACACACGTTGCTGCTCACAAGAGCAGGCATTTGAGTGTGCCTCAATAGGTCTCTCCGGAGATTTCCCTGATATAGGCCCCGAGAGCCGAGATTGGCAAGTATGCGAATCTCGGCTTTCACTGGCTCCAATGCATCTTCTTCCACCAGTGCAGCCACCACCTGTACTTCTGGCAAAGACATCTTCCCCCAGCCGAATGACCGCAGAAGGTGGGTCGCCAATCGGCTGGGTTCTGGAACTGCTGGCGAAGTTTGTGCAGCACGTTTCGCAGCTCTTTGTTTGGATCCTCCCCGCTGCATGATGTCCGGATCCATGGCGGCACACATCTCACAGATCTACTGCAAAAAATTCAAGGCTTGGGAGGACTGCTGAGGATAAACAAATATTGTCTAGCGGCCACAAAACAGGAGCCTCTGGCTTCCTTAATTGTACATTAGCTTTAAGGAGCCTCTGGCTTCCTTATCCTACATTATCTTCAAGGAGCCTTCGGCATCCTCATATACGTGTGCTCCTCGAAAAAAAAAACCCTAAGCCCTATAACCCCTTTGGGTGCCCTGACCCCTTTGTGGTTTAGAACAGGTATACCCTAAAGACCCTAAGCCCGAACCCTATACCCTAAAGTGCTATTGTGGAAAAACCTTAAAACCTTAAACCCTTACAGACCCTAAA